CAGCTCATATTGTGTTCAGGATTGGGGTGTGTGTGTGACTGGCTTATTTGTTTGCCTCTGCTATATTTTAAATTCTGTGAGTAAGAAATGACAACATGAAAAACATTTATATTTAATAAATGACTTGCAATCAGCAGGGGCATGTGGATAAAGAGTCAGACAGGTGTACAGGATTTTGCTAAGCAGACAGCAAGAGTTTAAAGATGTGAAGGACTTCCTTGAATGGTGTCTTACAACTACAGGGCTTGGGGAATGGGAGGAAGTAGATGTCCTTGAATGGATATCTATCTATGCACTTAGTGTCATGAGATAAATGAGGAGAACACGTAAGCTCAACACAGTGGCGTAGCTTGGCTTGCCAGCACCTGGGGCAAGTATTGCGCCCCCTAACCCATGGACCTGCATCTCTCCTCCTTCCTCTTTTCCCAATAGAAATGCCCCCAAGCACCCTCCTCCTCCTCCTCCTCCATCATCCCGCCTTCCCCCACTCCTCCTTGCCTATCTCTCACTGGGCTCAGCCAGGGTGCAGAGGGGCCCCCGCTGCACCTCCGGCTCCCACTGCTACACTGCAGCCACCTCCTCCTGCAGTGCCCACATGGTGGCTCTGCTCCTGCCAGCACCCCAGCAGGAAGATGCTGCCAGCCAGGCTCAAGACCCTCAGCAGCCCAACGGCCGCCAGAAAGAGGCACAGCAGCAGATGGACCCCCAGCCCAACCTGCATGCCTCTGGCTGCCCAGCAGCAGCAGGAGAAGCCGCAACCCCTCCACCAGCCCCAGTCAGACAGAGGCTACTGGCACACTTTCCTAAATGGGGTGATCTACTCCCCTTTGTCACTCTTCACTGTAGGGAGGGAGGGAGAGTCACCTGGGCCAGCCCAGTGGCAAGACAGAGCGGGGGGGGGCAGGTTGCAAAAGGGCAGCAGTTGCACACCTAAAAGGATTGCACTCTGGGGTGACAACCCCTCTGCCCCCCATATTATACCACTAGCTCAATATAATGCTGTTACTAAGTGCTATCCAGTTGCTTCTGGAGGCATTCAAGGTAAAATTGGACAAGCATCTGTCAGATCTGCTTTGATTTGGATTCCTTTTTTGAGCAGGGGGTTAAATTCCATGGCCTTATAAGCCCCTTCCAACTCAGTTATTCTATGATTCTCATTTATGATGACCTGCATAGGGTTTTCAAGGCATGTGAGATGTTCAAGGAGTAATAGGCTAGTCAGCTATAGTCAGCCCTTGCAAGTGTCTTATCTTATTCTTGAATTCAGTAGCAACACCAGAAAGCTGGGACATACATGAGCAAAAAGCTAGAGCTTCAGATCTCCTTTTGGGCCTTTCTAGTCTCAAAGACTCTCCAGGGCAGTGTGTAGCTCATCCAGGCAAACTGGCCAAGCACAACTATATAGCATAGGTGAGAAGTGCTGTATGTTCTTGAAACAGGTCTTTAACAAAGAGGCTAAACAGAGGATTTGCCTTCTTCTTTTCCAAATACCTAGACTAAATATGTCAGTCGCTGGGTTGGTTGCCCAGAACAAGTCTTTTGCTTGGAGTAGGGCAATAATACATTTTAGGGAACCAGTTAGAGTCTAGGTACACCAAACCACCTTGGATACAGATAACACATCTGATTTTGTAGATGAAGCTGGGGGCGGGAGCTGGCTAGTTATCTGACTGGAGGTCCTCTGGCTACATCACAGATTTCCAGAGAGGGCTAGGAACGAATCCTGCCTGGAACCCTGAAGAGATGCTGCCCATTAAAGCCAACAATACCAGGCTGGATGGACCAATGGTCTGAAACAGCGTGACATAGTTTCCTATTTCCTTTTTAAAAAATGGGCATGGTCCTTGTTTCCAGGATGAACACCTTACAATGCCAATCTAGATACAGGAATCGTTTAATGTATAATTTGTTCCTATTTTGAATGCGTAAATCATTCCGGATGTTTTTATGACAATAAATTTGAGATTATTGCTGGTGTAACTTGAGAATCATGTTGTGTCTTCAATGTTTCCAGTAAGTACAGAGTATAAAATGCTTTATATCTGAGAGTACTCTGCATGCATATGAACGAACATATTTATCAGCTTGGAGAGTACATTGAATATGCGCATGCATGATTTTCATATTGCTTTGCAAACCACAAGGGTATTGCATTGTATGGCTACCTTATTAAATTGCTCTTGAAAGAATAATGGGCGGCAGGAGGCTTTAATTACAAACTCATTGTGAATCTGATGTGGTGTACATGCTCCTCCTAATCTCAACCCCGTAAAGCACTTTAAATTTAATTTTAATCAAGGGACTAGTTCAGTATAAGTCAATGGGACTACTCTCACATTTCATAACATTCAGGAGTATTTCTACATAAAATATCATTTGGAGAGTGCTCCCTTTAGTCACTTGAGTGACAAAAATCATAACAAAAGAAGGATATAGATGTACTTGCATATCCTTGAAAGTTAGATACAGGTAGGTTGAGAATTCAACAGTAATTTATAAGAAGATATAATTAAAAACCTTTACAAGAAGAATTGGTCCAATGTAGTCATCAAAGCTAGAGAGATCTGAATTCAGATTCCTATTTAGCCATGAAGCTCAAGTAGTCTTTCACTCTTGAAGTGTCCCATAGAATTTGAAATGTATGGAAAAGGTTTCCATGTTAGAGGGCAATGGGCAAATATAGTGAGAAAGGACTGTCTTAAGAGACTGGTCTAAAATGCCTGCTGTAGTTCCATTTCTGAAGCTAAGCACAACTAGATTTGAGCAGTAATAAGATCATGGGGAACATCATATATGCAACCTATCAATCATATTATACAGTCATGTGAAAAAGAAAGTATATCCTCATTGAATTCTATGGTTTTATGTATCAGGATATAATAAAAATCATCTGATCCTTAGGAGCTCTGAAAATAAAGTAAATGCAACCTCAGATGAACAACAACACATGATATATTACACCATGTCATGATTTATTTAATCATTTATTTATTAAAAATAAAGCCAAAATGGAAATGCCATGTGTGAAAAACTAAGTACATCTTATATTCAATAGCTTGTAGAACCACCTTTAGCAGCAATAACTTGAAGTAATTGTTTTCTATATGACTTTATCAGTCTGTTACATCGTTGTGGAGGAATTTTGGCCTACTCTTATTTACAACATTGCTTTAGTTCATTGAGGTTTGTGAGCATTTGTTTATGTACAGCTCTCTGAGGGTCCTACCACAGCACTTCAATCAGGTTGAGATCTGGACTTTGACTGGGCCACTGCAATCTCTTGATTCTTTTCTTTTTCAGCCATTCTGCTGTAGATTTGCTGGTGTGTTTAGATCATTGTCTTGTTGCATGATCCAATTTTGGCCAAGCTTTAGATGTTGGACAGATAGCCTCACAATTGAACCTTGAATACTTTGGTACACATAGGAGTTCATGGTTGACTCAATGACTGCAAGGTGTCCGGGTTCTGTGGCTGCAAAACAAGCCAAGATCATCACCCTTCGACCATTGTACTTGACACATTGTATGAGGAGCTTGTGCTGATATGCTGTGTTTGGTGCTGTGCATTATGGCCAGACATCTAGATTTTGGTCTCATCTGCCCAAGGAACATTGTCCCCTAGGTCTTGTGGTTTGTGCAGATGCAACTTGACAAACCTAAGCCATTCTGCCATGTTCTTTTTAGAGAGAAGAGGCTTTTTCCTGGCAGCCCTTCCAAACAAACCATACTTCTTCAGCCTTTTTCTAATTGTATTGTCATGAATGTTAACATTTAACTTGCTAACTGAGGCCTATAGAGCCTGAGATGTAACTCTTGGGTTTCTTATAATTTCTCTGAGTATTGCACATCTGACCTTGTTGGTGTGTTTCTTCCTTGGCATTGTGTTAACACACGCCTGAATGCTCCAGACCAGTGAACTGCTGAAACGTTGGCTTTTATCAGGGTGGTCACACTTGCTTATGATCAATTATTCAAGGGCATTTGATTAGCGGCACTTGGCTGCTGCTTAACTTCTTAATTCCTATGGAAGCAATAAGGGTATACAGTGGTGCCTCGCTTAACGAGTGCCTCGCTCAATGATGACTTCGCATAACGATGGCCTTTGCTGGAAATTTTGCCGCCTCACCTAACGATGTCTCCTATGGGGGATTTTCGCATAACGATGTTTGGGACCTTGCTTCACTTAACGATGACAGTTTTAGGTCCCCTGTTTTGCTTAACGTTTTTTTGACAGCCCTGTTTTCGCTATTCTAAAAATATTCTAAAATGTTTAAAAAATATTTAAAATGCTTGGAATCATTAGTGCACCTCATAAAACCTTCGTTAAAGTAATTTGGCTTCGTGCTGAGTCTTTTTGAATTTTTGATGATTTTTTTTCACCATTGAAATGTATTGAATAGGCTCCTATTGGAACGGATTAACTGGTTTTCAATGCATTCCTATGGGAAATGGTGTTTCGCTTAATGATGTTTTCACATAACGATGTTTTTAATGGAACCAATTAACATCGTTATGCGAGGCACCACTGTACTTAGTTTTCTACCCATGGCTTCTCCATGTTGGCTTTATTTTTGTAAAATAAATCATGACATGGTGTAATGTGCCATGCGTTTTGTTCATCTAAGGTTGTATTTTCCTAATTTTCAGACCTGCTAAGGACCAGGTTATTTTTATTATGTCTTGATACATAAAACCATAAAATTCAAAGAGGACGTACTTTTTCCCCACATTGCTATATAACATCATTGAATTCTCAGATCCTACTAGATACCTTCATAGTTTATGTTTGAAGACAGCAGAGGAAACTAAACAAAAGCAGATAATCCAACTGTATGAGGCTACATCATGTCGTTGAACCATCCACTTCATGTTCATTTCTCCTATCTGCATCCTTCTTTGTATATTCATCTCCTGTGGCCAAGCTTAAAACCAGAAAGAAAAACACCACACTCAGATCCTTCATCCTTCATCCTTTCCATGCCTTTGGTGCTGTTTCTTAGGTCCATGAAGCAAGCTGCAGTCTCCCACTGCCCACAAACCAAGACAGCAGCAAGAGACTCAGATGGGCAGCCCTTCTGGTAGACTGAATCCTCCGATCAATACATGTTTGGCCTGTCAGTGAATAAATTCTAGAAACGTGACGGAGCCAATTCAATGTTGAAGAATAAACGGTAGGCAAAAATTAAGTCTGCAGCTTTGATAAGATATCTGGTGGCAAGTCAAATATGGGAAATCAAATACTAATGGATTCACTAATGGATTTCCCACAAGAGGTGTGTCTGAAAAAAGGTTAACAGCCAAAAGGCTGGGAGTAAATAAGGTTCTGACAATGCTTGAAGTCAGGAGAAACAAGGGCAAAGCTACACAGCAACAGGCATTGCCTCTGGCCAAAGCTGACAGAAGGTTAATTATTAATGTTAAGCCTTTAGAGTCAAACCATGCTTCCCTATAGTACAGCTCCTGTTTTTTAAAAGGAGCAAGCAATTAATGATTGGTTTTCCAAGAAACCTGACTCAAGACTTCTTATGGAAAACAATCCAAGATCATCAACAACAATAGCATCTTCTTCTTCTTCTTTGGGCTTTTTGTCACCAATCATGTTTACAACATCTCTTTGAGTATTCATGGGAAATAATAAAACAGCCACTATGAAAAAAGCAGCATGATATTACTCAGATTTTTAAGGTTAATAATTATCTTGCCTGTCAGATTAAATGATATATATCAGTGGTGAATTTCTGCTGTGTCAATTTTTCAGCACAATGGCCATCTGTCTGTTGACCTTACAGGATGTCAGTCTCTTGAAGTCAAACATATGTACCCAACAGGGATCACATATGCAATTTAACATTTTTGTGAATGACAGTGATGGATAAATTATGTGAACAATATCAATCTTTTAAAGAGGAGAGGGGGAAAGAAAATACTGACACTGAACCGAACAACTGTGCTGTAATGAATCTAGAAAATTCCAGTCCATGAAATGTAATGCTACTTCATGAAAGATTATTACAACTTCATGGGTAAAATAATGGTGGAGGCTTAGAATGCACTTTGGGGAAATGTATATATCATATACACGTACTTCAACATCATCAAACAAACAATAACAGATAAATAATCTCTCTGTTATTATTTATTCTAACATTGGAAATTCCAAACAGACAAATAAGAGGGAATGCTGGAATTAAGGGTCTCAGAATCAGGAGAGAAGAATTTAAGCTGCTAGATCATCATCATACGCTGATGATCTAGCAATAATACTAGAAGACCCTCTGGACAGTTGGGAAGAATTAGTGAGAACTGTTGAAGAATTCGAAGCTGTTGCAGGTCTTAAAATAAACTATCAAAAAACAAAATCTATGACTAAAAACATAAAGAAAGAAGTTGTGAAAAGACTGGCAATGAAAACTAATTTTGAGGAGGTACAGAAAGTGAAATATCTAGGAGTTATCATTACAAAAAACCAAGTACTGAAAGTACTGAATCAGAAGGGAGCATTATTCACATATAAAGACTTAATAACTAAAGATCAGAATATAAAAGATAAACAAGAACTAGAGAAACTGGGTCTAGTGACAGATTGGTGGTCAATGTTGAAATTAGAATTGGGATATAAAAAGTATAAAACAATGGGCTTTTTTGATGGGAAAGTCCAGGTGGATGAATTAGGGATTTACACTAATGAGAAAATAATTTTAAAAATGTATACGTACTTATTGGAATATGACTTGAAGGATGAGAGGGTGAAGGAGGCGATGGTAAAATGGGCTCAAAGTTTTGGGTACAATATTGATATTGATGAATGGACAAAAATGTGGAACGAGAATCATAAAATTATTAAGCCAGTGAATCTTAGAGAAAATGTCCTTAAAATGTTTCATAGATGGCAATTTACCCCTGTAAGATTGGCAGAAATGTCAGAAGATAACAGTAAAGTTTGTTGGAAGTGTAAAAAATATCCAGGGACTTATTATCATATGTGGTGGTAATGTGAAAAAGCAAATAAATAAATAAAAAAATTTTAAAAAAAATTAAAAAATGGATACAGGTTTGGGGAATGGTAAAAGAGATTGTTCAACAAAAATTAAATTTTAAACCTGAAATGTTATTATTGAATATAATGCCAGAAATTATTGACAAGAAAATAAAATATAGTCTACTGTATATATTCACAGCAGCTAGGTTACTCTGGGCCCAAAAATGGAAGAATGAAGAGACACCAATGATGGATGAGCTATTAAAGAATCTATTGGACATTGCAGGACTAGACATGCTTTCAGAGACACTAGGGATCAACCAAGAGATTTTGTAAAGAAAAGTTGGAAGCTGATATATAATTGGGTCCAGAAAAAGACAGGAACTTAAGGGGAAAATTAGTCTATAGCGAACCAGTGCTCACCAGAATCACCTTAAAGATATTTTGATGACCAGATGACGGTGAAATCTCTGATCCATAGGTGAAGGAAGGATGTTTAGCTGTGTTTTTTTTCTTTGTTTTTTTTTAAATTATCTGTTAAATTGTTAATGTTTTTAAGTTTTTAATGGTTTTAATGGTTTAAAAATGGTTTAAGTTTTTAAGTTTTTAATGGTTTAAAAAACCCATAATCAAACAAGCCTCTACCACTTCCATTACAGAGTTTGTTCAAAATGTTGCATTTTAGACATATACATGTATGTATGTGGGTCCCATCATCACTGTAAGTTACAAGGAACTATCCACAGGCATTCCGCAAAGCTCAGTGCTGAAAAATGGTATTTTCACCCTGGAAACTAAATCCAAATGTACCATTTATTTACTCATAATATTTGATTGAACTCCAAACAATAATTGAATGCTAATAGCTTTATTAATTGCATTCAATCAGAGTTTAGGAAAGCTTTTTTAAAAAATACATTTCCCAGAGTTCTACATTTCCCTTCAGACAACATGGCCTCTGACCATTCTGGCTGTTGAATTCTGGGATTGGAGCCCAAAGAAGGACTATTTCCAAATGGTGAGTTCATCAGTATTTAAGCAGATGTTAGGGACAAATTGTGGGGAATGAGTGCAGCCTTCATAACTTCTGTGTGAACTTCTTGGTCATGTCTAATTGGCTGCTGTGAAAAACAGGAAGCTGCCTCTACGACTTAATCTTGGAGGTCCTCTCCTGGGTTTTAATACACAGCGTTATATGAAAATGAATTGTTTGTCATGTTTCTATTGTAAATCCACCACCCCAGTCTTACATTGGAAAAGTTTCCTGAGAGTGACAAAAGGCAACTGAAAGATGGGACTTACTCTACAAATGGTTTGAGTCATCAGACATCGCTTGAAGAACATGCATTAAAATGAGAACTTAAATCTGGAAGGCAGAAAATAGTAAAAAGAGCAATTTGGAATTTTGATATGGCAATATGTATAGAA